TAATATATATATATATATATATATATATATATATATATATATATATATATATCATTTGAGATTATTAATGATGGATTTTTCCTACTCTTTAATTGGGAGGAATAATAAGAAATAATTAAAGAACATTGACTCACCTGTCACACGACAATGACCACACCAACCACCACGACACCGCACGTGCGAAGAAGCTCTCCACATCGCAGTCGTGATTGGGACGCGCCGACACCATCGCGGCCTTCGAGAGCTCAATGGCGCGATCGTTATTTGAGGCTGATCTCGGGGGCAGTTACGACCGAGGGACAAAACTTGTGCCGCACGCCTTTTGCGATCGCGCCGCGTACTCGGCGATCAATTTGCGCCTTCCGCCGGATGAGTTAACGTGGCCGAGATAAGAACGGAGCGAGGGTAAAATGGTCAACACTGACGCGATAAATATGGCAGACGAGGCTTGCAGTGGTCAAGAGTTATATAACTGCCCCTCCCTTCTCCCCTCCCTTTCCCCAAATCCATTTCGATCGATCTCTGCCTTTTCCATTTCTGAGGTAGGAACACCGATCTGGCCTCGTCTTCTTGATGACTGCGGTCTTGGAATCATCTGATGAATCTGATTGTTTTCGTTGATTTGACCGATTCTGTTGCAGGTGATTTGGACTCGTTGGGATGGCGATTTCGGATGCGGGGGGCGAGTCGGCGGCAGCTAAGGAGGGCGGAGGGGAGAGGAAGCGGAAGCGCCGGGCGGAGCGGTCGTTGTTGGGCAAGTGGAAGACGGAGGGCGAGCGAAAGAGTTACTCCTCCAAGCTGATCGAGGCACTCCGCGTCGTTCGACGATCCTCCTGCCCGGCACCGGCAGTGGTGTCCACGGATTGCTCCCGGAGCCGGGCCATCCGGGTGGCAGCGGACCGGGCGCTGGCGGTCACGGCGCGCGGCCGGTCGCGGTGGAGCCGCGCGATCCTCTGCCGCCGGACTCTCAAGCTCAGGTCCCGGGCGCGGGTCGCCCGGCCGAAGCCCTCCGCGGCCGCCGCCCGTCCCCGGGCGGCGGATAGGAGGAAGCCGCCGGCTCTGGAGCAGAAGGCGAGGGTTCTGGGCCGGCTCGTCCCCGGCTGCCGGAATCTGCCCTTGGCGACGCTCCTGGAGGAAGCGACGGACTACATCGCGGCGCTGGAGATGCAGGTGCGGGCCATGACTGCGGTCACCGAGATCCTCTCGGCCGCAGCCGCCGACGGCCGGTCGTCGTCGGTGGCGGCAGAGCCGATGTGATCCAAGGCAGTTGCGATCCCCTAGGCGTCTTCCTCCTCTTTCTCCTCCCTCTATTTTTGTTGCCGGCATCGGCTGATGCGATCGCTTGAGATCGCCTTCTTTTTCTTCTTCGAATTGTGATGTAATTTATTGTACATTTTTGTGGTCTCCTTCTATTTTATCTTCCAACTATTTCTCCCCGCTCGATGGCAGTTTGGTAAATTTAAAAAGTATATGAATCAGGTACCGTGGATCTGCGAAGTTTATTTACACCTGTAAATTAAAAAGATAAATTTTTTTAATAACTCAAAAATTAGATTCGACGTTCGTTTGATGGTATCGATTTATATGCGAAACGGGTGAGATGGTGGCGAGTGAAGCAATCATTTGGCCCCGATTGAAATTTGTTTATGGAGCACGCCTGTGTAGTGCATGGCGCAGGGGCGGCGCGTGTGCGTGCGGGCCCCACCGCTGGGGTCAGGGATGACCATGGTTGCGGTGGCACACATTTGGAACGTGTGTCTGCAGGCCGGCAGCTGCTTCCGTGACGTGTTGTTTTGGACGCTTGTGGCGCTGACGTGGCGGCTTCGTGTCTAGCTCTTTCCCACATGATTTTTTAATTATATATTGGTAAAAGAATTTTTGCATAGTGCTCTCATCTCTAATTTTTTAAAAAAATATATCTTCCATTTTATCTCATCGCCTATAACTCAATGCATATTTCTCTCATTCTTCACTTATCACTTTTAATCTCCCGAGTTATATTCATATTTATTTTCGCTTTATTACCCCTATACTCTACTAATCACAGTTATTTACTTTACACCATCATCTTTGTCTTCTCTCTCCTCTCTAACAACATATCTCATTATATCTTTGTGCAACGATAATATTTACGAAAAGAGTGACAGAGTTTTTTTTTTAATTATCGTCATAAGTAACTAAAAAGGGCGAAGGAGGACCATCAAGAACTACCTTCACATATAATCATCTTTGCGTATGGCCTCTTTCGCTAAGAATAGTGACAGAGATGATGCAGACAAAAAGGTGAGCCCTTGATAGCCTTTGAATGCCCCTCTCAATCGTCATCCTTAATGAAGGAGTCATGAGTGAGAATAACGATGAATGTAAGGAAAGACAGGAGAGGAGACTAGGGTGACGATGCGAGAAGACAAGGGCAATGATATAAGACAGAGGGTGAGGAGGTTACATGCGTGAAGATACAGACAATTGGGGGCAAAGGCATATGAACAAAATTATTTTTTTAAAAAAATATTTTATGAATTAAAAAAAAATTAGAGATGCTCTATAAGGATTTCCTAAAATTAGGAGTTTTTCTTTAACTATTTTGTTTTTAAAAATTAGTTAATCAAGAGAAAACAAACTGACACAATGCCACAAGAGAAATGATTTAAAATCATATTCTTGCAATACATAACATCGCAGATCGATTAATTGGTTATCTAATGTCGTTAGATTTCATAGTATTCACAATAATTGGGAAGAGGACTGATCACATGAACTGAACACTTCAACAAAATAATAGCATGAAAATTTTCATATTTTAAGTCCAATTAAATGGCAGCAGCTCTCAAATTTCCATGTTAGAGATGATTCCATTGTAATCACTCAACATAGTGATTACCATATATTCTCAATGACATAGCCACTCAACAAGTGGAAGAGTGAGTACATTACCACAACAAGCTACAACCAGAGCAGAAAGCAAGCTGGTGCACAAGCTTATCCCATTACAAGCAGCCCAGCCCACTTTGGATAGCTACAGTGTGGATTGCACTTGGGCTAAAGGGCCGGCCTGTCTCGAGATCAAGAACGAATCTTGGCCGTTGGATCGGCATCGCGCAACCCATCTTCCGTTCTGATCACTTTCTTCCGCTTCGCTCGTCTTCGGTAGAGTGGGCTCGAATCACGACGATGTTCCTGCGGCGGGTGATGTTGAGGGGCGGGCGGGACGGGGATGGCGTGGATGCAGGCGGCGGGGAAGGTGAAGGAGACGACGGGGATCGTGGGGTTGGACGTGGTGCCCAACGCCCGGGAGGTGCTCGTCTCCCTCTACAACCGCACCCTCAAGGAGATCCAGGCCGTCCCCCAGAATGAGGGCTACCGCAAGGCGGTCGAGAGCTTCACCCGCCACCGTCTCCAGGTCTGCCAGGAGGAGGGTGATTGGGAGGCCATCGAGGCGCGCCTCGGCTGTGGCCAGGTCGAGTAGCTCATCGAGGAGGCCCAGGACGAGCTCAAGCTCATCGCCAAGATGATCGGTCCGTCCGTCCCCTCTATCCCTTCTCCCCACTCCCCTTTCCGGTCTCAAATTTTCTTATCCGTCTCCGATCACAACGGCGACTTAGGGATTTTCCATTTGACTTCCTGTGATCTTTGAAATTTTCCTGCTTTTCTTTGCTCACTCTGTCGTTGACGAAGGTTCTTTACAATTTAGTGGTAAAAATGGATTTTTTTTAAAGATGATTATGGTGTAAGAATTGGTCCTTAATTGTTTTCCTTGATTATCGGCCGCATGATGGATCCTAATTGCTGATACGTTTGATCATTTAGGCTAAAAATTAGGCACTTCTGTCTCAGATCAGATCGGAATTCAAGGGTTTATCTGTTTGGTTTAAGATCTCATCTGTTTGTCTTTTGTCTCTCGTTAGTGAACGTCATTGTCTGCTTCAGAGCAAAAACAAGGATTTTGGAATAGGCAATGCTGTAAAGATTTTGTATATTCTCTGAAGGAAAGGCTCAATCTAATGCTGATATTTTCACGATAATAAATGGAATGGCAATGCATTTTAGAGTTTCAAGGGTGCGGAACTATATACTAAATGTGCAGTTCTTATCTATGGCATCCTACTCCCCACCCTTAATCTATAGCTAATAAACCGAATTAGAAAGGAAATGGTGCTATCTGATCTTCCCACTTATTTTAAGCTGTCCCCAATCAGCACTATGAAAAATTAGAAGGATCTCCATTATTGGTTCATTGAGTGGTTTTTTACATTTCAAGTTTGATATGTTGATAACTTGATATTGGATTGACTCATTGTGAGGTGAGCAATAAAACTAAGATTATTTTAATGGTGGTTCGGAGTTCTCTTTCCCTAACTTCTAAATTGATTGTGGATCTTTTTCATGCCGATGATCTTCAAATGCATCCTTTACATGAGTAAATCAGAGATATAGCTATTGTTTAGCAAGTAGTTACATTGTTTGTTATCATTTTCGGCATGGCTGCCTGTGTTTCCTTTGGCCAGGAAAGGGTCTGACATCTGCTGAACTGGTAATGTTGCTGTTAGAGGAGAAAGGTACCATGGAACTTTGACAAAAATGTTCTAGGTTAAGGTGTTTATGCATATACGTAGAATCAGTGATTCTACAGATGGAGACATTGAGATCAGTGCCAGTGAAGCCATTAATCTGGCTGCCTAATTGTGGCCCCAAAATTTGGACCTTGAGTGAGTATTAGTGTAGAGGCCAATATAACTCTGCTTTTAATAGAATCAAGAAGATGACAACAAAGGAACTTACGAACGACTGCAGGCACTCAGTGACGTAGAGATTTTTGTTTTATATTTTCAAACTAGGAGCACATGTTCGTAAATGAAGGTGGACTATGTTATTGCACTGCTGACATATGGCACATAGTTAGATGCAGGTCTCTATAGAAATATGTTGAAGACATTTCACCTTGCAATTTAATAAATATTCTGGTTCAACATGATAATTTCAATCTCAGACCAAAAGATATAGAAGTGCATGCAGTTCCTGAATATTTGGCTGTATATTTATATTGCTGTTGTTAATATTTTCAGAATTTAGTGTTGGGTTCTAGTGCTTCTAGCAAGTTTAAGCATCTCACTGAAACCATAGATAGTAAAATTGACAGCTTTCTTTCCAAAAGCAAGATCCTTCGTCCTTAAATCTATGTTTCTGATTATCAGAAAGGATATTTTTGATTTGTCATCTTTTTCGTGCCAGTCAACAGTGTGTCGTGGAACCTTATTTTGTTGTTGTCATCTGAATGAGAATGCTATTGCCCCTATTGTAGATGAAAATTTGTTTCTTCTTGAAGTGATTGATTACTTGTTTATTCTTTCTTAGCAGTTTATTTTATGTTTAATATTGAACTGCAGAGTGGGATCCATGGGGTGTTCCCGAGGATTATGAATGTGAGGTGATTGAAGATGACACTCCGATTCCTAAACATGTCCCTCAACACCGACCTTGTCTGCTTCCGGAGGAATTCTTCAAGATGGTAGAGGCAGTCTGTACAAAATCAGTTCCAGAGGGTGAGCCTGCTCCTCAGTTTAAGGCTTAAACCCCTGCCTTGCGTGGTTTCAAGATATGCGGCTTCTATTCTTTTTTGGTATAATTATGTTTGTCATGAATTATCTAGCTTGCTTGTCTGAGAAGAATAATGGTAGGAGTCAATAAAAATTGAACTTGCTTGAAGGATCCTTAAACATGAAGTTGTTATGATACCAATATGATGAATCTTATATCACTGTGGTTTTTAGTTTTTGTATTCAAAGGGTCCTCCCAACTTAGGAAGAAGTTTTCTAGCGTTGAAGACATCATAGTAGTATGGTTCAAGTCAGTCCATCTTGCCCAGGTCAGTGCATGGGATCATCATCTTATGCTTTACCTAGATCAACACATGGTGTATTTATTTGATCTTTGTCAAAATGAGTTCAATATTAGAACCATGATTCCAGGACTCACTGACTAGTCAGGAACATCTGGTTTATTTACCATATGCAAATGCTTTTGGTCTAACATCAGATGTCTTCAGATTAGAACATGTCATCTAAGACTATTTCACAAAATGAATGCTTTATGTGCATCAGTAGTCTTTTATAGCATTCTCTGGTAGCTGGTGCAAACTAGGGATGGGAGGTTGATTTAGATTTATAAAAAAGTTGATATCTGAGCAGACACAGATTCGGATTCGGGTTTCAGTTCATGTACAATGAAATTCATAGTTGCAATTCCCGAGCATTCATGTGGATTTCATTAAACAAAATTTGATTTTCCAAATAACTTCTCAAAACCTCTGATGAGATTACTTTCTCTGGTGCCATGGATAAGTTTACTTGCTGAATTTACTGGAAATTGAAATTTGTGATGCCTTAAATTATAAGTTTGCTGAAAAGTTTTGATGAGTTTATTATAAAACTCTGATGAGATTATTTTCTCTGGTGCCATGGATAAGTTTACTTGCTGAATTTACTGAAAATTGGTTTCTAATGGGTTTATTATAAAACCTATGTAATGTAATGTCATCTATAGTCTCCCAAAGATTATGCTCAGTAGAATCAGAAATTTTCTTTACAACCTTACCAATTAATTAGGAGCATTTTTCATTCATCCTAGCAAAAGTATTCATGACAATATCTTCAAGAGGTAGAATCTTCTTACTCACATGTTTTCCCTTAGAACTTTTTCTTGATTAAGAACTCCATCGATTGAACTTATTATGATCACCACTACTACTGCTGCTATTCTTTGAATGGCTCCTTTACTCCTCTTGAGTTCACAGATCAAGTGCCATTTTCTCAAACACATGGAGGCCGTCGCTACGATTAGAGGCTACTGGTGCGGCTGATGGGCATTGCAGAGGCTGTTGCTACCACCATCATCTACGAACCATTCCAACTGTTGCCAAGGCCATGAAGACCCCCTGTTCATGACTTTATTGTTCCCCTCCTGCTCTACCAAGTTGAGGATCCCCGTCGAATGCATTCGATTAATCGCTCCATGCACTGCCGCTGTCGCGCCGTCAACGAAGAATAGCAGCGACGAGGAGCATCGTCTGTTCGTGGGTTCGATCTGCGCTTGAGCGCCGGAGTTCCTCCGGTTCCGCCTTCTCTTGCTGCTCCTCTTCCGCCAGCCTCATCCTGTAGATATGGGGAAAGCAAGCTATGCGAGAGCCAGATTGCATGTGATGGAACTGAGGTGATGAGAGCATTGTTGGAAACAGATATCGGGAAGAATCGATGAGGTAGGAGGGAAGTGATTCGGACTCCAACAACGGTGGCTCTGAGCTCTCCATCTTCCGTTCCTCAGGAGTCAAACGCTCCTTTGCCTATGTACATGGAATTCCTAAGCCACCAATCACGATGCAGGTAGGAGAAGCGGGCAGCGATGATTTGGTTGCCGAAGTAATTTTGTATTAGAAAATAAAGGACAAATAATATTAATGTTGAACTATAAATTCCAGGAATATATAATAATTATGTGGTTGTCGAGGCCAAAATCTTAGGGCCGATGGCAACCTTGGCTGCAGCTGCGGGCATCTCCGGAGCACCAAACCTTTCCTCCCTACTCCGCCATCAAATCGTCAAACCAGTGCAGGTTCCTCCTCCCCGCGCGCGATCTTTCCATGTTCGTCGCCGGATCGCCTGGAGACGAGCTTCGTCCAGCACTCCGCCGCCTGCCGAGGCCGCCTCGCCGGGGCTGTATTCGGCCAAGGTGTATGAACTGACGAAGGAGAACGTGAACCTGGTGTTGGACGATGTTCGCCCCTACCTCATCTCCGACGGTGGCAACGTGGATGTGGTGTCCGTGGAGGACGGAGTAATCTCCCTGCAGCTCCAAGGTCTTGCCTTTCTCCCTCTTATCCTTTTTCGTTTAGGTTCGATGGTTACCCTTTTATCGTCATCGTGAATTATAGGTAAAAATAAGATTTGTTCACAAAGTCCACTCCTTTATGAGAAAACAGTTGGAGAGAAGATGGTCTCTTAGCACGATTTGGGGAACTTTGAAGTTTTGGTGGTGGACGGGACGGGAATTAGATTAATTACGAGTCTTAAGGTTCACGAACGCAACACTAGAGACTGGATAGAGTCGCATCGCTTGTATTGATCACTGCAATCCTACTAATTTTATCTCGAATTAGCTTGAATCATCCCGTATCATCAGATTTCATGATACTTTGCTTGTTCTTTTATGAGTGTGAGAGGGAGGGAGAACAAAGGAATTAGAATATAGTCGCAAGACTGAAAGAGGGCTGCTGGAAGGTGAAGCTGTGCTTTATCATCAATTCATTGAGGTAGAACATTTAATTGCTTTTACATCTTGGGATTCAAGGAGAGGCTTGAATATACATCTTGGTTTTTTTTGGACTTCACTTGAATACATCTTGTTGCTTTAACTTGATTCTCGCTTGGTATCTTTTTATGTAAATTTCCTTCTGTGGATATTTGGATGAAACTGTTGTGGAAACTGTTTTTCTTTTAACAAAGAATTGTGTGACTATCACAATACATGTTAAGAATTTTAAAGAATAAGCCTGCGAGTGCAGAGGATAAGAGCACACACACGGACCAGAGAAGCTGAGTCATATGATATTGGTCTCCAATCCGGTAAGTAACAAGATCAACTTTATTCATTCTACTAGTAACAAAAATAATAACCCCTCTCACCCTGTATCTAACCAAGCTACCGCAAGTCTTGCAGTTCCAATGCCCTCTTATGCCATGGAGGTCTTCTCTTAGACCCATTTCTGGCTTGCCAAGCAATAGATGCTATGGTCTGTCCTAGCATGTTCTCCTTCACTTTTTCTCTAACGCTTCTCGAGTTTCTCTCTAGCCATACACACCACTAGACCGCCATGTGCAAGGACAACCAGCTACACCTAAACACTTGCAAGATCTTTTGCTTAGACCAATCTGACCGCATTGCAGATAGTGAAGAATGAACAGATTGAATTCTCCAAACCTCATCCTTTTTACAAATATGCAAAGTCAACCGGCGGTGAGCAGTGTCTTGTCTTGTATAGGTTTTCCACAAATTTTACTTTGATCACTGCATTACATCCTTGTCTTTTCAGGTTCTCTTCAGCAATAAATCTATCTCGTGGACAAAGCCACCCAAATATCTTCATACACCTTCAAAATGATCTTGATAGATGCCGATCTATGTCCCTGATCAATCAGGCATCTGTAGAATAACTTAACCTAATCATTTTTCTAGTAAGTTGAGTTTTACCAGCCTACTTTGCAAATTGGTCAGATCAACCTAATTTTCTTCACCAGGCTAAGTTCTGTATGTGAAAATTCTTAGTTTGTCACTCTATTCATCTGAAGAAATTGTGCAAAGATATATCCTGCTTAGTAAAAATATAATAAGATATTATGACAGGTTGCTGAGAGACATTTCATTAGTCCTGTGGTCTCGCCATGGTCAGAATATATTTTGGCTTATACCAACTATGGGGCACTTTATCTTGAACATAGGCAGGACTGTTTGTTGCTATATTATATTCTAGTCCTTGGTTCTCTCTCAACTTATGATGCTTCCTGAGTTGTTTCAAGATTTTGGAATTGGTTCATGCCATGACTTGAGCTTATTTTGGTGAGAAGAATAGATGTGGAGATGAATGTTGTGAACTTACGGACAAGAAGTCCTAGATTTAATATACTGATTGATACTTTGCTTATACCAACTATGGGGCACTTTCTCTTGAACATATGCAGGAACTATTTGTCGGTATAATATATTCCAGTCATTGGTCTTCTCTCAACACCAGCGTTTCACCTAAACAAAGTGGCTTTGTTGCTAAATGTCTTAATTAAGTTTCTTGGTTTCTTGAGATTTGGCTACATTAACTGCTTTGACTAAAAGAAATGTTTGGTACAGTTTGTTACAGTGTGCATGCTTCCAGTGACCGTACTATGTACTTATGCAGGTTTTTATGTGTCGCTGGGATAATTTAAAGTGTTGGCAGTATTAGTTATGTTCTGGTCCTCTGTCATCAACCGTTCCTTTATTTTTTTATTTTTGAACACAATCAATGCACCTAGAACTAAAAAGCATGGATGTATTTCACATCATTTTGCTAAGAGTGGAAGAATCAACAAGTGGATTTGCATAGAACTTTGTACTTCGGATTCATACACTCCATCATTCGACTCTTCATTTTTTTTTTTCCTTCATCATGCAGGAGCCTGCGGAAGCTGTCCTAGCTCAACAACCACCATGAAGATGGGTATCGAGCGAGTTCTGAAGGAAAAATTTGGAGAAGCGGTCAAGGACATATGCCAAGTTGAAGGAATCCAAATCGAAACTACAGTTGAGGTATGAATGAAAAGAAAATTATACACCAAAATCGGTTCCCATATGATTGATCATTTAATTCTTGTGCTGTTCCAGGCAGTGAATAACCATTTGGAGATATTGAGACCTGCCATCAAAAACTTTGGAGGTAGTGTGGAAGTGGTTTCTGTCGAGGCTGGTGATTGCAGTGTAAGATACACAGGACCAGACTCCATAGGAAGTGGCATCAAAGCAGCCATCAAGGAAAAATTCCCAGATATCATCAACGTAGTATTCATTTAAGAAAACTGCGAATATATTCGTCTCTTATTACGAACGAGCAATTTTACCATTGTATCAAGGTCCATCCTCGGATAACACATTTGTATGAATGTATTAATCGTAGTAAGGTTTTAGTTATCGGAAGTTTCTTTATTTGCGACGACAAGTTCTTGGATACAAATTAGCAGGAGATTAGGTAGTAAATTAGTGCTTGAAACAAGTGTAGAATGACACAACAAGAAGAAAATTACACATTAGCGGTGGCTTTTGAGTTTCTCTTGAGAAAGCTATGTTGGTACAGTCATATCGGAAATAAGGAATAATGGTTTTCGCCTTAGAACTCAACACATGGAAGTTAGGCCATCTCAGTCGTAATCAAAATATAAAATTTTTTTTCTAATCGCTCGTAGTTAAATTGACACTGATTATAAAAGACAGTCTTAAGCATGACTTTAATCTCGACACATCGAAATTAGGTCATGTCAGTCGAAATCAAAATAAAAATATTTTTTCAGATCGATCAGTTGTCGCTTTAATCTTTTTCTTCCTCATCTTCGGATTACTAATTTGAGACATTGATCTTTGTGTAGAGAAAGATAAACATCGGGAGCGTTTGACACCTCGAGCGGCATTGATTCTCTTGGCACATATAATGTCGAACTGATCATATGGAAAGTAGATAACGACATTGATATCAAATTCAAGAGAAGTCATTCTTCTCGTTCTTATTGGATCACATCACACGTTCAAGATGGTACTCGATGATGCCAACCAAAAAGGAGACGAGGGGGCACTTCCACAGAGTCGGTCCTTTGTATTAGGACACACGTGCTCCCATGAGTTGCAGAAGAGGGCATGCCATAGTTCGTAGATCCAATGAGAACGAAGAGTAAATTCCATCACTATACACACACAGGATTTTGGAGCGTGTTAGGATCATCTTGTAGAAGACAACACACACACACATATATGTACGAACGAGGGATAGGAATCATTTTTGCTATGATTATTCCTTATGTATTTATAATATGTATTATTGATGAGGATTTTGATTTGGTGACTACAAACCTCAACAGCAAAGGTTTCGAGAAAGGGCCCAATATATTTAAAAGATATAGCATCCCTTGTCGATGTAAACTTGATGAAATATAAATGTATGCTAAGAACCCAAAATACGACTATTTTAATTATACGACTATTTTAATTAACTCGTTAATTTTATTAAGCTTGGATCACTTAACTAAAATATTCAATCATAAGGTAATAATAATATATTCATCAGCCTTCTATAAATTAATCTTAGTTAAAAATATGAGCCTAAATTGGGATGTCACATAAAGTATCATGAAAGAGGCAAACTATTTATAAGCTTTTGAGTGTTAAAATACTGAAATATTGATCATGGATTATCCAATTGGCTCAGATTTTTGAATGGAATGATAGAAAAATTTTAAGATAGTATTGAAGTCATTAGGGTAGATGTCGATGATAGTTGGATTAGCATAATTTGATTCGGGTTCATATTTACAAAGAGCCTTTAGAGCATGTGCTCGATCTAGAGTTGACTTATAAGAAGATCAAAGTCGGGTGTGGTTTCTTATGCGATCCATCCGAACTCAATGTTTCAAATAATGTAAAAAAAAGTACGGATGAAAAATTTATAATCTTGATCACCGTGGTTTGATTTTTTTTGTAACCGATCTAACTAAAGAGAATATTTAGATATATCTATATTCCATGTGATGCGTGTGACATATTTACGTGAGTTGTGCAGGTCGGAATCACTCAAATATGGGTTTGATAGGAAATATATAATCAGTTAGTTATCGTTCGCTATGCAAGTATCACGTAAAGCTTGTGGGAGAAAAGACCCAAACGATCGGAACTCACTTACCCGGATGGATAAAAGTCCAAGAGATAGCCTAGGTCATTTACCAACTATCCCTTCTGAAAAATTTATAGAAATATTTTCGAAAGTCCAAGAGGTAGCCCAGATCGATTACCAACTCCTCTCTTGTGAAATATTCATAGAAATATTTTCGAGAGTCTAAGGGTAGCTCAGGTCGATTACAAATTACCTCATATATATGGAATATTCATAAGAATATTTCATTTCTTCAAGGTCAGATATAAAAACACACCATTTAACTCTAAGTAATGAAAAATACATAACTTAGACATAGAGAAATTGATATCGGGACAAACTTAAGTGTTGGAGGAATTGACTCGAAAAATCTCTTCCCATTTTAGTCTTTGAACTGGTAATAACTTTCCACCTCCGATGACACCATGATTATGGATCAAGACCACTTGATGCTGACAATAATTTTAACGTTATTTTTTTTCAATAACGACCATATGAATATGATAAGTCATCATGAGTTGAATGGTATCAGACAAAAGATTCTTTTTCTATCTTTGTATCTTAGTCACTCAATCTGATAAAAGGGTGATGTGGAGAGATGTCTGATTGGAACACTCGTAATCTAAACACAATGGGTGATATCATTCTTATCTTTTTTAGCTCTAAACTATCTTATCTTTTGAATCTATTATGAATATTTTCCCGACGACGTATGACCATATAATTGATGTCATAAACATGTGGTACACTATGGGTCAAACCGAGGAGGAGTGAGAAGGGATGCAGCAGTGGAAATGGAAGTTACGTGGAAATTACGCACGAGGGGAACGACCATAACTTTCACCGTCTCGGTGGCCCCCACCGTGTTGACAGCTCACTCGCCAGCTCACATTCCCACCGTCACCGACGGCGCGAACTACTACCCGTACGCGTCTGCGGGCCCCCACCGCCCTCCTCGCTCCTCGCCACCCAATCCATGGGCGACATTACTGGGTGCGGCCACCCATGGGTCGTCCGATGGTCTTCCCTCCTCCTCGTGACGCGGGCCCCAAAGATTCCCGGCTGCTGGTCGTTCGCGAGAGACTCACGTGTCAGCCACGTGACGTAATGCAATGCCCGCACCACTTAAAGGCCACACCAATAATGAGTTCTCATTCGCGAGAGGTCCACTATTGACGTTATGGATTATAGTTCAACGAGTTGCATTCATGGAAGAACATTTGGAACCTCTCACAGTGAGGGAGATGGAGACCTCCACTTGATGGACATGTAAATCCAGCATTAGCTCTCGCTAATCCATCATAACCATGCGCTAAAAGAGCAGTTCAAAGATTTCAATGTGCAGATTAGCAACTTAATGTATCAGCTCCCACCAAAAGCAATCTCTCTCTCTCTCTCTCTCTCTAACATGCCATTACTGTTGCGTTGCATGCACTGTTAAATGAGACGGTCTATCTCATTGACAGTGCCAATATTTGATTCGATCTTTCTATGGCAGAAAGAAATATGAATAGAATTGTTTCTTCTTCTCTTCGCTGCTGCAAATCTATGCTCAATATGGTTTGGGCACAAGGACTGCTTGTTCCGTCTACCTCTTTCTCAGAACTGCTGCTGCAGCCATATGTTCTCCGCGCTCCACAGGTCGTCCCACCACACGTCTTGGTCCAAGTTGGTCAACCCCAGGTCGGCGTAACCGCCGGAGTTGGAGCTCGGCAGGGACTCGGACCAGCAGGCAGTAGTGAAGTCGGTGCGCCCGGTCACGTCACCGATGTTATCCTCACATCCCTGCATGCTGGCGGCGGGGAAGCCGTCGGAGACCCGAGGCGGCGAGAAGTAGTGGATCCCGAACGAGTCCGACGAGGACGAGCCGGCCGCGCTCGAGGTTTCCGAGCTCAGCTTGGTGGGCCCGGTCACGTCACCTTTGTTATCCTCACATCCCTGCATGCTGGCGGTGGGGAAGCCGTCGGAGACCCGAGGCGGCGAGAAGTAGTGCATCCCGAACGAGTCCGACGAGGACGAGCCGGCCGCGCTCGAGGTCTCCGAGCTCAGCTTCACCCTGGCGAGCTCCGTGGCGGGGTCTTCTGGCCGGTGGCTTGTGGCCGGAGAGACCGTGGAGTTTCCGGAGGCCGCCCGGATTCGTTCCACGAGGCGGGGTATCCACAGGTACCGCATCACGTCCTTGAACTGCTTGCTGTTGACGTCGCATTTGAGCTGCTTCGCGTGCTTCTGCACCCTCGTCCGCCAGTAGTTCTTTATCTCGTTGTCGGTCCTCCCCGGCAGGTGCTGCGCTATCTTGGACCACCTGCAGCAGAGTCCGCGTCCGTGGGTTAGGGGCCAAGCCGTGGGGAAGAGTTCGCAACAGGGGAGTGTTAGGCGAGACTGTGGTTACCGGTTGCCCCACCGAGAGTGGAGTTCGAGGATGAGGAGTTGCTCCTCCGGGGTGATGTTGCCGCGGCGGACGTCGGGCCGAAGATAGTTGAGCCACCGCAGCCGGCAACTCTTCCCTGTTCTTCTGAGTCCTGTTCATAGAGAAGATGAATCCGAGAAGAAGGCCAAGGAAACTGAGAAGGAGCAGACCAGTGGTCTCCGAATCGGTACCTGCGCAACGAGCCAGAGAATTCCAACGCCCCTCGCCATGAACAGCGATGTAATCGACCAGAACAACGTCCTCCTCCACAGTCCACGGCCCCCTCCGCAGGTCCATCTCCTCCTCGCTGGGTGGTATGGCGGAGCCACAGGTCGTCTCATGGAACTCCATCGACTCCTCCGACGGTTAAGGTAGACAGAGGAAGAAGAGAGAGAGCTCTGAGGGGTGGATGTGGATGAAGACGAGCTTATATAGAGGGCGGCACAAGTGACGGAAGCGAGCCGCAATGGGCCGAGGGTCTTTAAAGCCAAAAGCGGTGGCTTTTGATAGACATCAAACAGCGTCCGAGACCTTTGACGTTGACTGCCCTTTCCCCCTCCTCCTCCTACTCCTCCTCTCTCTCCTCTCTCCTTCCTCGTTGTCTCTTCCCCCGTCTCACTGTTTCTCGTACGTGGACACCGAATTACCATTGGTGGCGACTTGAGGTCCGCACGGACATGGTGGGGTTTGACACTGGTGAATTCAACAGGATCGAGAAGATGATATGCCGAACAATAACATCATGTTTCACGTGAGGTCGGGGAGCTCATTCGGTCACCGCGATCTTTGCGTGTCCAACGGTGTTTCTGCCTGACAGATGTTCGACGTCTTGTCTCATAGTCTTCTCCAGGTGTATTCTCACATCATCGAGTTCCTTGTTGATCTAAGTCTGACTTCCTTTGCATCCAAACACAGATCGTTAGAGATATGTCACTTCCTAACAGAGACTTGGAATGCCGTGGGTCTCATATGCTTAGCCATGCAATGTGATCCTCATCCCATACGAGCAACAAGAACAACAAATCCACTGCGGGAGATAAATTTCAGAGATTTTTTTTCTCTGTTTGCATTTCTTCTTCGATAAATTTCGATTAACTTCGTTCTTAATGTTTGATTCTCTTGTCTGACTTGATTGATTATAATTAGGTTTGACTGTTCGGACTAACTTAGATGTAAAAGAACGAGGAGGGGTGGCTGCTGCCGAGTCATATCTGCGTGTCCCGACACTCCATCGGTCGGACCAAACAGAGGTGGCGGTCAGACATTTCCACAAACAGGCAAAGGGTGCTCTGCCGGGGGTCAAACGATACATCGGAACATCGGCAAGCTTCAAAACACAGGCACTTCCAAAAGCAACCCAAGACGACGACGCAGAAGGAAGGACTCGCAGAGTGGGGCGGCGTTGGCTCCGAGTACCGTATGAGACAACAGGGAAGGCAATCATGAGCTTAGCAGCAGCGTTTATTTAGATGATCGCATGCCATAGAATAGTGTGAGGGAGACGTCTACAGCAGAGGATGGATTGAAATGCCTTCAATTCATTTCACACCATACTGATTCATATATGGTGTTAATTGTGACACTTAATGTTAAGAACAAAGCAAGAAATGTTGGTTCCAAATTATTAATATAGAAAAAATATTGAGATTGCAAAAGGAAATTTTGTGACGTCTAATTGTTCGGTGTGTTGTATTGTATTGTTGCACAAGTGATATGTTTTAACGTGTGTGTGTTATGTGTTAGTGTCAGCATCTTTACACCGTGGCCTCGGGGCCAATACGGTTGGGTTCGGATCCGAATGATTGGAGATCTTCCTGAACGACCCTTGAGATTGCTGAGGTAACCGATCGTGGTGGTCCGATCGCGACGAGGTCACTGTTTTCTCCGGGAGAGGACCCCTCACCTGGGCGTTCTGTGGGAGGCACTCCGTCTTCGTCCCTACACGCAGGTTGGGTCGGGAGAGCTCGGCCCGACCCCTCTGACGATCAAGTCAGTCGATAGTCTCATGAGCTTTTCTTATTTGATCCCCCTCCTCTTCATTCTGAATGCGAGGGTTTTTATAGGGAAGGTCATCGTTTCCTGATGTGCCCGCTTGCAGGGAGTAAGGTCGTACCTTGGATAACGTCTGACATCGGCATTGGCACTGCGTGAAGGACCGAGCTCCTGCAGTATGGCGACGTGCCTCGGTTAGCGTTTTGGTCTGCTTCGGCCAGGCGTTGTCAGATCAGACCGAGGCAGGCGACCCCCGTAACTCCTCGGTCTACGTGACCTAGGAGACGTCACTTGGGAGTAAGTGACGTTAGTTCGTGTCCTATCATTATTATTATCCTCATCAATATGTACATCATTTAATATAATATTTTTATATATTATTTTTTTAAGTGATAATTATAATATTTTTATTGATTGAACATTATTAATGTGTGTGTGATATGTCCGTTATTTAATATAATAATTGTTTTTTAAAATCATCCTTTTTTAAATCATATACGACAATAATAAGTCGTTACATCCCATGAATATTTTGCATTGAAAACATGCAAAACATCTAAGAAAAGAGCAATCATGTTTTTTTAGTAAAATATTTTTTTCATCTCTCTTATTTTCTTATCACTAATATTCTATGATTTATCTTGACTAATACAAATATAAATATACAATTATAAATGATCCTTTCTAGTTGTTTTATGAATCAAAAAATTCTCTAATTATAACAAATTAACCATCCAATGCCATAAAATATGATGAGCTAATTATAATTTATCTCCTATAGTTAGTTATTCTTAATATCCTGATTCGTATATTTAAAAGGTTACGTTGACATCTCTATAATTATGAAAAAAAACATCTATATCCATTTATCATAATGCCATCGATTTTACCAATAAAAACATGAAAATAAAAGGTAAAAAAGATAATTTTAATATTCTAGTTGGTGGTGATGGGCGACTTTGTTAGAGCCGGATGACAAAACTATTTGGGACCATGGGTGAGTATTGTGGACGAGGAGAGCAACAACGAGAGATGAGGATAACTATACATCTACATTAACATCGACGTAATTATCGAGCAGTCATCACCTCTCATCATCGCTCTCCTCAGCCATAATCATCTGTGACCCTAACGGTGTCGACATCCGCTACCACTAACTCAAACATTAAAATTATTTTTTATAATTATTGATTATTATATTTTTATTAGTAAAACATGGATAATATGTAATTAACCTGAATACGATCGATTGATAATGATGTTGCGTAGAGTCCACGAAAGTTGGATGAGTTAACCATGGGTTTGGTGAGCAATCTTGTCAATTTAGTTGTCCCCTTCATCTAAGCATCAGTGTTGGGTTGGGAAGGTGAGAGACGAGTTGTATATGTTTCCTTGGAGATGGAAAGCACATGACATGAATTATTATGCAGGCATGAAGCACTTCAATTATGTTAGTGTATGGCTCTATATTCCGTATGAGACAAAAGCCTTACAAGATTGTGACATGTTTGATATATTTCGATTTACTACACTTAGTCTTCTAATCATGCCAAATCAGTAAATGATGGTTGATGGCACAAAATTCTCCAATTATTCCTTGTGGAAATGTGCATAATCCAAGTCATGTCAATTACCCTTTTTTTTTTGCATAACATAATCACAAATTAATACTTGTATTATATATATTATGTTAAGAAACTTTGGGAGAACCCTAAGGATTGAAGGTCAAAAATCTATAATTTTTAGTATATAAAATAATGATGTATCAAACTGAAGTCGAGGATTTTGAGCTTTCGTATAAAAAATTGATACTTAAAATATTAATAATATACGAGAGATACTCGGTAAAGATTATCTGATTTTTTTTATACGTAAAATATTGGTACATTGATGACATATGAGATACACTTGTAAAAAATTGATTGTCCGAAATCTCATTCGATGAATTAAAAATATATAAATATCATTTAGTTTAGTTAGTAAAGATCTTAAATATTAATAATAAAAAGATTCTAAGATCGAATAATTACTCTCATCTTCACTTTTAAACGAATAAATAATAAAAAGAGGACCTCAAAAGAAGTAAGCACTTCCTATCAAGGACAAGAACTCGGAGACCATTGGAAGTAGAAAAATGGCATGAAGCATGACAACAATCGAAAAAGAATTTGATGACGGTGAATTGGCCAAAAAAACACAGAGTGTGCTTTTCCTCCATTCTATCTCAACCAAGTGAAGCATCTTTGACCAAACAATCTCTATCCTTACGAGGAAGTCATCGTTGTGTAGCTCAAAGACTTTTTTGGTGCGTCTTTTGACCTTCGAATACATACTCAAGTATGATAGCGGACATTTCTACGAGTACACTCGACCGACACAGCCACTAATTAGGTTTCACTTTCACTTGAGCTCAACGATGACATGGATTGTTTGATCCGAATCCAATAATAATGGGAATGCATTGACTCTATATATGTTGTCTTTAAACTAAAAACTAGATAGAGAAGATGTTGAAGTCAACATGTTCTAAGATAAAATATTTGTCATGCCATCTCATTGCTGTATTATTATTATTATTATTATTATTATTATTATTATTATATATATATATATATATTATTATACAAATTAGGTGAATGATCATTCATTTAGCTACTTAGATTAACAAAGAGTATCTAATAGGACCTATCCAACTATCAAATTAGCTAAAACGACAAAGAATTAGAAGCTTGTTATTGGTATATGGTTATCCTCATGAGTGTATCATGAGTATGGATGGTCTGAACTCACTCAAAGGAAATGTCATGAGGATGTGGTACATGTGAAATTATGTGTGATCATATCAATTTTCTTGATGTTTATTTTGATTCAAAAATAGAATTTATATTTATTTAGTGTTGTTAGCACTATACCACCAAAAATATTATTATTTTTAATCAAAATATTATATTAAATAACATATAAATCATTAACACGTGGACTCGAGATTGAGATGCATCACCTGTTTAATAATAATATACTAATAATATACTAAATCTTTGGATAAAGTGTTTGTGAGTTTTTTTTGTCCTTAAATAAAATCATCCTCTGACTAATTCAATATTTTTTTATTTCTTAAAAGATAATACCTGAAACATAAATTAGGTTAGGTTAAAAAAAATTTTATAAAAAAAGATAAATAATCAATATATGCAATACCGTACCGTATTGGTGTTTTGAGGTTGGCTTGGTACGATGATATGGTATGGTACCGACGTACCGAGCGGTACATCAGGACGTATCGAACGGTACACCAAGGTTTACTGAGTTATTTCCTCTTAATATAGCACTGTAGTACTGCTATAATGTACCACTATAGTACTATCACTGTTACAATGTATTATTGTAGTATGATCCATCCGGTAGTGGGCGATCCGCGTACCGATATAACGTCGGACCGGTATGTATCACCCGTAACTTTTATCGACTCGACTAAATTAGTTGATACATTTGTATAATTAAATTAAATTACCCAATATCATTAGCATGATAAAACTTAAATCAATCGATATCCTTCCATCTAAGATGTATAATTTAATGATCTTAATTTACGTTCCTCGTACCCGCGTGATGGACGGCGACGACGTGTATGTGCGGCGGTGCCTACCCGGCATTACATGTCTCCCCTCATCATCTGATCTCTCCCATCGAGAAGAGATCAGGTCAACTCGGGGGCCAGCGGGATGACTGAGGTCAATCCATTATGACCTTCTCAGCGTTGGTGAGCGTCAACTCAAGTGCTCGAGCTAGTGCGGCCTACTGTGGCTTATCCTTTCAGAGATTTAGGAAGATACGAATCCACTTTTCCTCGGATCGTGTTCACTTTGGAACATCAAATCCATGTCCTCATCAAGATGATGCAGCTCGGAATGTGACCACCAACCTTTTTGCCTCTCTACAGGATGTATGTTCTGAGATGTTATTGGAGGAGAAGCCATTTGGTTTGATTCTGGTTGGTAAAAGCCTTTCCAAAAAGAACTTGAAGTGGTTGGCTACTGTTGGAATGTGATTAGAAATGTGATAGCATGCAAAAAGGTCAATGAGAAAGAGGCAGCAGTAAAGTGAAGAAGGGGGTGTTGAGGAAAGAGAAAAGCATGGAGGAAAAGATGGCTGCCATGTTTTAGTTATCTATCCTCCTCTGCTCTCAAATGGTGTTGTCAATTCCACTACTTGATTAGGTTGAAATGAATGTCATCATCATCATGTATGTACACTTTGATTGATGGAATCTGCTTATCCACACTAAATCCTTTTTTTATTTGAATTATCAAAAAAATTTGAGATGAATAAAAATAATAGTCTCCTATTGTCAAAGATTAAAATAATCGAATTACGTTTGAACCATAACTCTAAGACTTTCACATATAGTCGACTATAACGAGTAAATATAGTCGTGTGAATGTTTCGTTAGAAAAGATACGTAAGAAGTTTAAATCTTTTATTCCCTCACACGTAATGAAACTTAAAAGAGTTATTACTATTATATAATAGGGTTAAGCCATAATATACAATCTTTAAGTTTATGAGTTGAATTATTATTTAATCCAATATACCATATAACTTAGAACTGTTTTCTCTAAGACTCCATTAAATTTGCCATATTGGAGTAGTGGCCATGCCAAGATTGAA